ACATCCTTTAGGTAAAAAGCCAATGAAATTGAATTTCACTTTGATTTAGTGGAGCTTTTTTAATTAAGGTTGTTATATTATTGCATATTGCTTAGAGACCAGCGTTAATTACAAATGTGCTTAAATTCTAGGAATTATTTACGTTTTTCGAAAAATATGGTAGCTGCTAAATGTTTTCATCTTAATGGATTCTAAATAATGAACACAAAAGTGAACGATATCAAAAAGTATTTTAGTCTGATATGAGGGAAATTCTAATTAAACTAATAACATAATGTGGCACCTAAATAATTGTGGATAATAGCATATAATAAAAGTGCAATTTAAGGGTAATGAATTATATGTGTTGGCATCCTGTGAGATCTGAATGAATTACTCTCGTGTCACATCGTCGTTCCGACCCCAACACGGGAGGCAGATCACCTAACACGCACACTCACTGAAGAAAGAGAACACACAAGAGGTTTATAGAGCCTCTGTAGGATGTTCAATCTCATTAGAAGTGTTTCCTCATGAATAACATTGAATAAGGATGAATCACTTGATTATAGATTCCTGTGCGTGTGCTGCCTGTGTGTGTTGACAGCATCCTCTGTGTGCGACGGTGTGTGTGTGTGTGTGGGTGTGTGTGTGTGTGTGTGTGTGTGTGTGTGTGTGTGTGTGTGTGTGTGTGTGTGTGTGTGTGTGTGTGTGTGTGTGTGTGTGTGTGTGTGTGTGTGTGTGTGTGTGGTGTGTGTGTGTGTGTGTGTGTGTGTGTGTGTGTGTGTGTGTGTGGTGTGTGTGTGTGTGTGTGTGTGTGTGTGTGTGTGTGTGTGTGTGTGTGTGTGTGTGTGTGTGTGTGTGTGTGTGTGTGTGTGTGTGGGTATCTTCGCCAGAATAAACAACAGTGGGAAGTGCCAGTCGGTGAAAAATGGGCGCCACCTCCCCTCGCTCTTCTCCTATTGATTTAATCTCCAGCCCTTTGCCACCACCAAGCCCCCAAATCTGTCTTCACAAAACCGTCTGAGGACATTCCTGTCCACTCGGGTTTCGTTCGCATGACTCTTTGAAATAAACATAAATAACCATGACGGGAGGTTAGAATATCTTCCGGGAGAACCATAATTCTCCTGACTGGTGAGAGAGCATTGTGCCTGCAAACCTGTAGCACTGCGTAGGTCCTTTTCACCTCCATTTCTTTTTTTTAAATGGGATTTCCTTCACTGTACTAAAGAAGGACATTGTTATTATTTTTGCAAATGTTCAGTAAATCCGGCAGAAATCAGGCATGTCTACACACACTGCAGAAGCCTATCTGTTGGAGTTCTTATTGAAGATTATATGGAAGCTTTTATAGAGAAAACGCAAACTCATACAGTTCAAAAATACAAATGTCTGAACTTTGGTTTCTTCGATCTTGCACAAACACATGACAAAGGATACTTGTTTGTCACTGTGGAAACGTAGAGCATTCTTGTATAAAGGTGTTTATAATAAACTCAAAACCATTGTTACAAATGTTCTTTAAGGAGTTGACATTTATGCTCCTAGCATTGGGATTGTTTTCTTGGTTTCCTTTCCTACGTATGTACAAATCTTTATGTAAAGGGTTTAGGGCATGGGCATGGGCCTGATCCCTGCTGATTGGAAAGCAGCTTGTGTCTGGAGGTGTGATCATAACACAGTCTCTCTGAAGCCCTTGGATTTTCTGGCTGGGAAATACAGCTTCACAACTGGCATTTCCCTGGCTGCCGTATCCAGGTTTGCTGCAATTACACACTTATAGCAGTGAGTTGTGCTCATCACGTCCACATGGGAGGGCAGTAAATGAGAGCAACCGAGCAGAAAAAGAAAAAAGTTTGTTTCTCACGCACGTCTGCAGCCACTTCCCTGCACACTTCCATCACCTCCCCCTCTCAATCTCATTGTGCTGGCAAATTAAAATTCACGGGCTGCCAAGCCATCCATTCTCCCTCCTCTGCTTAATTGTCTCGAAAATTGAGGAGATTACCGGACGCGATTTATGTACAAATAAGAATCTGTCAGAAACCTGGCAGTGTATACCATGACGAGCACACAGACACACAGACTTTGATGATCTGGAAGCTTTAGGCAATGACCGATATAGGATGCCTCAGATCCAGAACATTATCCTTGTTAACCCTTTTTGTATGTTACACTGAGTCACATACAAAAGAGAAGGAAAATCACTCCTACTTTTATTCTACCTTAAGATCAAGAAAAAGGATTCATTGCAGCATAACCAACATCATTGTTACTGTTGGATAAGGCCTGCTTAAAAAGTATTGCCATGTCAGCTGACAAGGTCATTTGCTGATTTAAATGTGAATATTTGCTACATTTAGATTGTGATTGAGAAAGGTGGGATTAGACCTCTCTTTAGTAGCAGTAGCAGCAGTAACATCGGACTAGCCTAGCTGTATATTTATCACCTAATGTTTTGGCAATGAACACCCACTCATTGTTGTGTTACAGTTTAAATATCTTTTTATTAGACACTTAGATAAAGCTGCCAGGAGTTCATACATCTAGTACGAGTTAACATATTTTCAAGTTGGCAACAGCTGAGCTAACATTTGGCTCATGAGAGCTTATTGAGCTTGGGGCCATGTGATAGTATTCCTAGAGGCAAACATGAACAGCAGTTAATGATCATCATACTGAACGCTATCAGAGAGACCAGATTTCCTGATCCCATAATCACAGGTGGCACTCTTTGTTAAGAGCTTTGTGAACAAACCAATCCTCACCCTTAATAAGCTTCTTCGCTGATGCTCATCTCTGATTCTTATCAATGTCCCGGCATGAACTGAAGATCTGATGAAACTGCCAAATGTAGCCTGCTGTCAGTAAAATCATTCAGTGGTCTGTGGCGTACTGTATGATAATGTTGGTCCACCCATCCATCCAATCAGACAGGCATCTCATACACGTCAGGTTGAATAATGACGTGAAATGAAATGACAATTCACACTGATTATCAGGCTAGAAAGTATCAGACATCTTGAATGTATCCTGACTAAACCTCATTCTCTTAGGGAGGCCAGTCCACAACATTCAGCACACTATCAGACTGTTAGACTCATTGTTGGGATTGGACAAAAAGGCGTAGGTTTTACAATGAGATACAAACTATGCATTGTTTAAAAAGGATTGTTGTCTACTCTAGGCACTTGCGTGATTGCGCGTGTGTGTCACAGAATTGTTATGCATTTAGGATTTGAAATGTATTACGTCTAAACTCTCTTTGTCATTTCCTTTGTTTTACCCATACCAGCTTAAAGTCGATTAACTTTTTTCTGTCATTTTTTCAACTTGTTTCAACCCCCCACACATACACACTCATAAACACATACACACACAGGTGTATCTCCATGTGAGTTGTTTGTCTGCAGGTATGTGTGGGTTTGTGTGTGATGTGCAGGTGTGCGCAGAGACCACATGTTCTCCCCTGGGAAGGAGCCAAATGAGGCACGGTGATTATAGCCTTACCGATGTAATCTCACCTCTTAGAATGTCGCCACTCAACCCCACCTATCCCCTCTCCTCCTCCATCCACTTTCATTCCGGCATACTCCAGCTAAATCCAATTTGTTATATTTTCAAATAAGGCCTTGTTTTTCTGTGCTCTCGCCACTTGACACAAAGTGGCTTTTATTATTGCTTCGCCAATTTGAAAGTGTTCCTCCCCTCGCTCCCTCCTCTTACTTTTCCTTCAGGTCCCATTGTTCATCCTCTTCAGGTCCACTCTCGCTGAGATGCACAGTAGGCAGTGAAGGCTCTAGATGTAGCACAAGAGGCAGCAACTCAAAAGCTGTTTCACAACTACTGAGCTGTTATTTTGTAGCTTGACGACATCATTGGAATTTTATGACAGACTGAACTTTTCCATCTGGTTTGGTGGTAATCTTAATTTTTGGAGGCTGGGACAGAGACTTGTGATTGATGCTGAAAAATAGAATGTGTTCTTAAAAAGTAACTACTTATTTGGTTTAAACATTTCCTAATAAAAGATCAGTAACAACCATTTATTTTGCAACTGTGTTTGCTGTCTCAATTTGCAGTCCATTTTTGACACGTAAAGTGGATTTTGAGGGTGATATACTCGATACTCTGAAAACTGAATAATCATCTGAGCACATTGTAATGCCAGATCAAATCTCTTGACCAATGTTTGAGGCAGATAATCATGATAAATTAAGTATATACCGGTAAAAGACCAGAGAGGTTGTCTCTTATTTATTTTATAAATATATTGAATTAAATGTTTTATTACAACATGCCTCTCTCATATGGTTTTTAATTTATATTGAAAAACTGCCCTCCGGGTTGATGCTTATGGATGCTGCTATTATTGCTTTGCCAAACATTTGGCAAAAGAGGGCTTTTCCACAGTCTTCTTGTTTGATTGATTTCAATTATTGCTATAAAAATAACAATATGGTGGTAATGACGATGACACAAATAATTAAATTAATTCTAATCGTATCTTGATGATGATGATGATGATGATGATGATGATGATGATGATGATGATGATGATGATAATGATGAAGACAGATGGTGATGTTGAACAGCCGTCAGACTTTCATATGAGCATGCCTCATCTCATGCCTGCAGTGAGGTGCATGGTTTTGATTGAAAGTAATCGCTGTGTGTGTGTGTGTGTGTGTGTGTGTGTGTGTGTGTGTGTGTGTGTGTGTGTGTGTGTGTGTGTGTGTGTGTGTGTGTGTGTGGTGTGTGTGTGTGTGTGTGTGTGTGTGTGTTGTGGTGTGTGTGGTGTGGTGTGTGTGGTGTGTGTGTGTGGTGTGTGTGTGTGTGTGTTGTGTGTGTGTGTGATGTGTGTGTGTGTGTGTGTGTGGTGTGTGTGTGTGTGTTGTGTGTGTGTGTGTGTGTGTGTGTGTTGTGTGGGTGTGTTGTGTGTGTGCAGTGTGCTGTGTTGTGTGCTGTGTGTGTGTGTGTGTGTTAGGTTTGCCGGGTCTGCTGTCCCCTGGCGGCAGCGTAGGTTGGTCCACAGGGATCTGGCAGCCCGGAAACGATCTTGGTCAAATCTATCTATCTCCCAAACCACATCCAAAAATCACCGGACTTTGGCCTGGCTCGCCTCCATGGATGTTAATGGAGAAGGAATATAACGCCGATGGAGGAAAGGTGATAAATGTTTTTTTAAAGTATTTTAATATATTTATAAAGGTGGTGCAATTGCATGCAAAGTCAATGGATAAAAAGCTGTAAATATCAACACCAAATGTGTTTTACGCCTATGCTCCTATAAAATTTGCCTTCATGAAAATACAAAAATTAGAGGAAACAAAAAGAAAGACTAGAGTGCAAAAATGTTCGAGGCTTGGTATTGGTAAGTGTGTTGCTAGCTAGCTTTAAGCTAACGTCTGTACAGGTTGTACATTGCTGTTTGGACCTACTAAACATCAATGTCCAGCTGTTTAATACGTGCAAATGACACACTGTCTCAAATGAACACATATCTGGATGTTGGCAACCTCACAGTGACACATGGCTACAGAAAGTCACTGCTCTAGGCCAATCATTTGAAAATAAAAACCTTTTTAACAGCAAAAATATTTTTATCACAGATTTCAGACTTTGTTTTTTGTAAGGATTAAAGGACAATAGAGACATAACCTGTTCATCAGTGAGTACAGCTAGCTGCTGGTTGTTTCCTTATTTTGAATAAACAGATATCAGAATAGCATTGACTTTTCCTTTAAGCAAGAAGGCAATTATGAAATGTAATATGAATTTCATTTCATTATTCTCTCTTTAACTTTTTGAATGATTTCCGTTTCAGGAAAAGTGGCAATAGTCTAACAGTAGGCCTGTTGCTCACATCATCAAACCCTGCTTTACTCTTTGATATTTCTGTATTGTCATTTGAGCCTGTTATGAATGACCTTGTTATCTTTTTTATTGTCTGTAGTTTGTTTGGTTTGGTTTTAAATGCTTGACGAGATACAATATTATTGAATTACTATTTTAGACCATATCATTGACTGTTGTAAATACAGCAACAGGCATCAACATTACATTTGGTTTTATCTCTTAAGGGAGGAACTTTGCAGATCACAAAAGACAGTTTTAGTGGAGTCAGTGTGACACATTTCTGCTCTATTGGACCGTTTTATTTACTTTTGGGGAATCCAATCTCAGAACGGTATTAACGTAATACGTCCTTGGAGCTCTCTGTACTTCGGCTGCCAGCCTCTTTTAATCTTTGTTCATCCTTTTTTTCCTCCTTTGTATTTTGTAAACCATTGTTTCTCAGGAAAGCCTATTTCATCCCTCGTTCTTTTGTGTGTAACGGTTTGTCTCAATGTTGAGCATTCTAATATTATCCCCTGCACTGAGAGAAAGACAGACACACTTTAACCTTCGACACCCCCCTCCCCTCAACCTCCATCACTGCAAACAATAGAAGTGGCCTTCTAATCTAATGGAGTCAAGCTGCATTGCAGACTGCCAATACAGCTGGAGTTTGTGTGCATGTGTTTGTGTTTGTCTTCTCTTTCATCCAACTATTTTCCACTTTTTTCTCTTTGCAGTTCGTTCTACCTAAAAGTATTGTTTGTTGTCAAAACTTATTTAGTTGGTTTACTTATCAAGAGATTGAAAAACTAACATACTTTTTTTTACGTGGCAGATGCCCATCAAATGGATGGCCCTGGAGTGTATCCATTACAGGAAGTTTACTCATCAGAGTGACGTTTGGAGTTACGGTAGGCGTTAAACATTTCCTTCTGAGTACCTGGATGATGTAGAAAACCATGAGAGCCTCAAAAATGTTATATGTAAAACAGACCTATTTTTATAGCTATATGCAAAGTGACTTTCAATGTGTGTTAAATCTCTATGGGAGCAAGACTTTGCTGTGTGTGCATGCCCTCTAAACAAATTAGTAACATAATGTTAAGTGCTGACGAACAAGCCTTAAAGGGCAGTCAAAAGCTACAGTAGATACTCAAAGAAATTATCCAGCTTTGTAAGAATAAAGCTTAAAGCCTCATCATTAGTCCTGCCCATAGCTACAGAAATAGTGTTCTGTTTTCAAATGTCTATATACGAAATGTGGATGCCATGTTCAATTCTGCTAACAAAACATTTTCTCTATTTTGGACATTTGAATTACATCCTCCATCTTACTCCTTTTAATTCCACAAATTCTTTAAAAAAAAATATATGGTTACTTTAATTTAGCCTTTACATATTATTTACCAATGTATTGTTACTTTAAATTATTTCATTGTGTTTTAAACGATTTCTAAAAATAAAAAGACTTGATTTGCCTGAGTTTCTTTATAAAGGAAATGCAATTTAATAACTGTTGTGCACTATAGTCTCAAAAGGTTGGTTTTCAGCCAGAGGCAGAAGATGGGACGTGACGGTGCTGTCCTGACTGCAGTGTAGAGTTCATTTCTCCACAGTGGGGTCAGAACAGAGAGCCTCCAATGAGATTAGCAACCAAGGGGGTCCACTGAGTGACAGGATCAACAATCGTCCAGACAGAGAGCACACTGGTTGCAAAGACAACCACTGAAAAACAAACACAAGCAATATAGTAAAATGTAGGCAAAAATGTTAAAAAGAAGATAGGAAAGCTGTACATTCTGAAGAAAGTTAAGCAGGCATATGGCATGCAGCTATTGTACAATAAACTCCAGACGGCTTGCTAGACAAGCCGGTCATTTATAGAACTAAAGCAGCTGTAGAAGGTTTTACCATCATAGCAGTGCTGATGAACAGGAAATGAGTGTTGAGTTCTTGACATGTGGCAATCACACGCACTGTGAAATGTAAACAAGATGATCTACTTTTTTAAGTACTTAAGCATTAAAAATCAGTCTTTGAAGCCATCAGCCTGTCAGCAAAAATGTTATCCAGAGTCCAATATCCTCCATTACCAACCAGTTTTATGAGGTTTGTATTGCTCTTTTTCATGTAACAGTTTCCTGTTTAAGTTGACCAATGACTCTTAAAGTAATTTAAAAAAAAATATTTTCTAAAAAAATATGCAAGATGGGTCATATCAAAGAGAATAATGTCTGTTTGATTAAAAGTATCAGTATGGTTTAATGTGTCCATGTCCCCAGTGGTCCTCTATGACCGGGGGCTATTAGACTTCCATCTTATAGTGTGCATTTACTCTGCTAACCACTCATTAATACTAACATGATTAAGGCTGAAGAGTTCTGAAAGTTCTGATTGACTGATGACTTTCAAGACTGTGATGAGTTCCTCTCCTCCACTCATCTTCTGTCCTCTGTGGACTTGTGTTGTCTTGTCTTCTTTATTCTTTGTTTTGTTGCTTCCTTATTTTGTCTTCCAACTTTGTTCTCTTTGTTCTTTATTTTGTCACTTTTTGTTGTTGTTGTTGTTCTGGTCCATCTTCTATTTTTCTCTTTTTAACTAAGCCCTCATCTCAACTCTTAATCTTCTCTGTACTTATTCATTGTCACATTGTCCTTTCTCCTCTTGTCCTTTTCTCTTTTAACATATGTTCTCTTTCTGCCCCACGTTACGTTGCTTCATCTCTATTTCTTTTTGTCCCTCCGTTTTAGGGGTGACCATCTGGGAGGTGATGACCTTTGGAGGGAAGCCATACGATGGGATTTCCATCAGAGAAATCCCAGACCTACTCGAGAAAGGAGAGCGTCTTCCTCAGCCGCCTATCTCCACCATCGACGTCTACATGGTCATGGTCAAATGTAGGTAGAAAGGGGGGTCACATTACCAGACATGCCTTAAAATATACAGTACTTTTACCAATATACTCAAATACAAGACCACCACAAACCACAGCATTATATTACCATTGTTAAGTCAACATGTTTCCGACAGTCTCAACAAATATTTTGCATTATAAGCTTCATAAATATATGTATTGCTTTTGAATAGCAGAATATTTCCCATGATTTACCGTTTTTGTTTCCATCCACTGTTTAAACTAGCAAAAAAGCTGCTTGAATGGTAAAGGTGAAGAAAGGGCCAACTGTTTTTTTTTAGTTAAAGCATGCTAAAATAATTATGCTTTTATAGAGAGAATTTTGAAAGGCCACAACAGCTGTTTCGTATAAGAGGGTCTAGGTGGTGTCAAAGATGAAGTTATTAAAAGCTGATATATCGCCACTCTAAAATTCCACCCATCTGTTATATTTCAGTTTATGAATGCTACTGACACAACTCTGATGGCACAACTAGAGACCCTTCAAAATGACGTTAGGAGGGGTTATGTTAGTAGATGAATAACAGTAGGAGCTCAAACCCAATGACCTCATTGGTCGGTCACTGCTGTCATGCGCTGGGGTCACAGGTGGCGCTGTAACCTCTGGCCATGAAGGTTTGGTGCCAGCACCGCCCCAGCCTTGTCCTGCAGTCTCAAGCTGCAGCCTCTGGTCCAAACTGTCACCTTGGCTCTCAGTGTCACTCCGAACCTGCGCCAACCTGGCAAGCAGACAGACACACACACACACACACACACACACACACACACACACACACACACTCACACACACACACACAGCGGGCAGAGGTCACTGTCACCTGCCTGTTATCTACCTTTGCACCACAATACCGTACATGCAGAACTAACACACCTCAATTTTCAGCATCTCAAATGTGGAGATTTCCCGCCTTTCTGTGTTTTATATTATATTATCTTGGGTTTTGGCTGACCAAACTATGATGGACACTTTACAGTATTTTCTGAAATTGTTCAGATTTGTTTCATTGAAGAAAATATAAATACAAAGAATAAATGTAGTTAGTTGCAGCTCTAGTGGACTGGATAAAGGGTTATATATTTAAAATGTGAAATCTCTTGTATCTGTATGTGTAAACTTGTGTGTAAAGCCACATTTCTCAATCTCTCAATCTCTCTCTCTCATTTCCCCGGATACTGAGACGTGCGCTACAGAAGGCCAGATCACATGATTACTTTGGCATAATACCAATTTGTTCACAGAGAAATTGGCAGAAGGAAGTATTACTCCATATGGCCATTCTAATGATGAAACAGTATTTATCTTCAGATTGAAAAAGTGATTACAATAAGAAAGCAACTTCATTAAAAAAGTACTTTAATTTTTCATTACGGAACAAATAACCATGTTTTATATAATGAAAATTGGTTTAAATTGGAAATCTTTTGAGACCTTCAGGAGAGGGAAGTTATATTATCAGGTTTGTCTTCAAGTTTGCTGAGAAAATGTGAATACTTTCGAACTACTGAGGTGATTTGAAGACAAAATGTATTTGTATTATTAATGTTTTATATGTTTTATGATAGTATATATATATATATATATATATACATAGCTTGGCTGAATTTTAGTTAATGTGTGATCACATGCTTGTAACATAACTTTGACACAGTAAGAATGAGTGGCTGGGATTATTAAGGAATACAGTCTAAAAACTACAAAGGTAAAGGAGCTGTTCTACACAGGTTTCGCTCTAACTCATTAGTAGCTCACAATGCAGCCACATTCATATGTAGTTAAAATGCAAAGTATGTTAGTAAGGGCTCAAAGGATGTATATATACACTGAACAAAAATATAAACGCAACACTTTTGTTTTTACTCCCATTTTTCATGAGATGAACTCAAAGATCTAAAACATTTTCTATATACACAAAATAACCATTTCTCTCAAATATTGTTCACAAATCTGAAAAAATCTGTGATAGTGAGCACTTCTCCTTTGCCGAGATAATCCATCCCACCTCACAGGTGTGGCATATCAAGATGCTGATTAGACAGCATGATTATTGCACAGGTGTGCCTTAGGCTGGCCACAATAAAAGGCCACTCTGAAACATGCAGTTTTGCTTTATTGGGGGGGTCTGGGGGGGTCCGAAAACCAGTCAGTATCTGGTGTGAGGGGTAGGGTTAGGGTTAGGGTAATGTTGTGAATCGAGTGGCCTGTGTTCGTCGTCCATAACATACGCCTGCCCATACCATAACCCCACCACCACCATGGGCCACTCGATTCACAACATTACCCTAACCCTAACCCTACCCCTCACACCAGATACTGCCTGGTTTTCGGACCCCCCCAGACCCCCCAATAAAGCAAAACTGCACGTTTCAGAGTGGCCTTTTATTGTGGCCAGCCTAAGGCACACCTGTGCAATAATCATGCTGTCTAATCAGCATCTTGATATGCCACACCTGTGAGGTGGGATGGATTATCTCGGCAAAGGAGAAGTGCTCACTATCACAGATTTTTTCAGATTTTTGAACAATATTTGAGAGAAATGGTTATTGTGTGTATATAGAAAATGTTTTAGATCTTTGAGTTCATCTCATGAAAAATGGGAGCAAAAACAAAAGTGTTGCGTTTATATTTTTGTTCAGTGTATATATATATATATTTGACATGGTCTGCGTAGGCAGAACATTTGACACCAAAGTGTGAAGAATAGAGAAATGCTCCACCTGATCATCACTGACACATGCACCTTTCCTCCCACTTAAGTGCTATCGGTTCACAGTCAGGAAGAAACTGGAACTTGATTGGTGTAGATGAGGCTTTGGTTTACCTCAGAGAACAACATACTGTTTTTTCAGGTTACAACGTCCAATTTAAATGTACAGACTTAATGAAGAGATAATATCAGGTATTCACAGGTTTAGATATATCAATATGTATTAGAACATCATATTAGTCAGACACTAACATAAACACTTTCTTCAGGTTGGATGATTGATGCAGACAGTCGGCCCAAGTTCAAGGAGCTGGCTGCAGAGTTCACTCGGATGGCTCGTGATCCCCAAAGATACCTGGTCATTCAGGTAGGTCAATCTTTGGGACATACCTCAAATATCAGGATTCTTTCGGTTCTATGCGTCTAAAATACAGAGTAGTTACCTTCAAAGTGAAAACTGGCCAGTTTTCCACTGTGCTTGTTTTGTATTAATGTATACAGAGTTTAGATTATATTATTTTCTATTACAAATTACATTTTACCTTCCTCATTCCTTTGTAAAAAAATACACTAAGTACTTATTTCACTACCCGTGTGTAAAACTTTAAACGATTGAGCCAGCCTGAAATTAGTCGACAAACACAGTAACGCAAAGTGCATCATTAGAATAAATCAAATAACATTACACATCAAATAAGGTGAATGTTTGAATAATATATTATGCAAATCAGGATGTAAAGGGCCTCAAAGTTGACACTTATCTACACACAACTTTACACAGGATGACGACCGAATGAAGCTGCCCAGCCCAAACGACAGCAAGTTCTTCCAGAGCCTCCTGGACGAGGAGGAGCTGGAGGACCTGATGGACGCTGAGGAGTACCTGGTGCCGCACTCCTACAACATACCACCTCTGGCATACACTCCCCGAGCACACATGGACTCTAACAAGGTATTGTCTTATAATAAACTCCAAAAACACTGAATAAACTTAAGTTACTGATGTATAATCCATCCTATGCATTCTGGCCAAAGGAAGTATGAATATTTGAACAAAATGGAACCCCTGTATTAGGTCTCATATTGTAACAAGTGAGATTTCATGTATGTTTTTATTATAAAGCGGGTAAAGAAGCTATAAAAATACTGTCAAAGTATCACAAGGCTCAATCTACGGAGAAAGACCCGGAAACACTGACCAATCAGAGGGGTGCTTAAAGAGACAGATATTTAAAAGTATTGTTCCAGCCCAAAGGGTTAATTCAGGATTAGTGTCGTGAAAATTATTAGTTTTTCCAATACTGAAGAATGTAAGCATGTTTTACTAGTTACCCAAAATGTAGCCAGACATTTGCATAATATGTCCCTTTTAATATAACTTTGTAGCACACATTTAAATGTAGTTGCTTATTGTCATTTTACATTACATTTTTTACTACCTTTTTCTTTTGAGTGTGGCAGCAGGGTGACTATCATGATGGAAAGAAGACGGTGTAAACTCAAAGTAGTGATTCAGAACATTTAGATGGTCCCTAAAGGGATGTGGAAATGAATTTTCTCAGCATGTACTTCAGGACTCTCCTGTTGAAGCACAAACGATTGAAATCTTAAAGCAGAACTCACACAGCTTTCTAAGTTTCACTTTCATCTCCCTCTTTCTTTCTCTGTGTGTTTCCTTGGTCTAATTCCATTGTGAAACTATGGTAATTGTCTTCTTCAAAATTGGTGTTTACAGCGATATTCCCTCAGTACTTTAACTGTTCAACTGTTCAAACGTGTCCGTCTATCTTTGGACTTAAATCTATCACAAAACCAGTCACACAGCCAGGCAACTGAGCCATTTTGTATTCCAATATCCCCCCTGTGTTTGTGTCAGGATAAAAACGCCTGCCGAATGCCAATGCGAGACAACTCCAACTCTGTTTGGTGCATTTCAAGGGGTGACAGATGACTTATTTGCATAAAACTGGTAAATGTGTGCTCCACGATTTGGGATTTTTCTATTCAGGCTGATACTAGATTATTTTTGATACAGTTGCATTAATCTGCATAAATCATGATTAGTTTAATGAAATCAATTATTGCCAAAGAAAGACAATATGATTTGTTAATACCCATCCACATGTCTAACAATTACAGTTCAGAATTTGCAAGAATTATAAGTAAAAAAAGACTGTGCGTCACGATTAATGGCAAGGTTAGTCGTAGTTTTACAACCTCCACAGTAGACAAGGAGCAGACATCCTGTGAGTCACCCATACTACACATCAGTGACTGACCCATCTCTAATTTGTGATAAAAGGCTATGTGGGTCTGTATCCCTGTTGAGCCTGTGGCACCACTTTCTCGTGCCATGCAGGATGCCAAAGAATCATCAATAATAAGGGAACCTGATGAATAAATTAAGAGGAAACGTTTGATCAGAAATGGGATTTGAATCTGCCTATTCATTCACCGACCAGTAATCCACAAACGTTTCCCCTCTTTGTCATTCATTTAGTATGTAAGTGAAAATAAGTGCCACGGGGGATTTTTGATCTTTTTAGACTGCTCAGAGCTCAGAGGCCATGCAGAAGAAACTAAGAAAGGGAATTTGAAACAAAAAACTAACTTTTTCTGGAATCCAGGGATAAAAGATAAATCAGAAAAAGCACCCAGTGAGGTTCTACAAAAGAGCCCCTTTTTTGTTATGAGCCTAGACACAAATGCACACAGCACGGCAGGGCTGATATGGTTACTTTAAGACTTTGCTGCATGGAGCCTTTTAATTAAAATCCTTGTAATTAAATTGTCCTTGGCAGTCATGCTGCCATATCACTGTTTGGCACTGCTGTTTGTCTCCCCTGCCTGTCACATTGAAATATTACAGATGAACAATGGTACAAGGAATGTGTCTATTGTATGGACTTTATGCACAAACACGTTTTATTATTAACAATGCCTTCTATGGTATGTGTTAATTGCTTATTTTATTGCAGTACATTGTATGTTTGTTTGATTGTTCAATAACCTGCTCTCAGAACCATTGTAAAGACTGGAAAATACAACATGTATTTACTTACTGGCAAATAAGCTGAACGTTGACATTTAATAGAAGAACAGCAACAAAAAAAACATTGCAATAACTCCCCACTGTCTCAGGGTTTGCTTTGGCGTGGTTCATGGCTATTCTTGTTTATTGTGACATCCCTGTCCCCTCTTTCTTTTTTCCCAGAACCAGTATGGCTACCAGGACCCCAGCTACAGCATGGAGGACATTATGGCCACCCTCCCCAGAGTGGTCTCTGTTCCTCCTGTCTCTGGGGTCTGCCTCCCACCACAGGACCAGTCGTTAGGGGGGCAGATTGGTGTTGGATTCGGCCGCGGTAACCTGGACGACCCTCGCTGCAATGGAACCCTGAGGAAGCAGGTCTCCCCGAGGTCAGGCAACCTCGTGCCGGGCTCAGCGCTCACTGCTGGACAAGGTAAAGACTGAAACTGATCTATATGGAAATAGAAACAGTATTTATAAAACCAAGACATAGGTTAATTGAGCTGTTGGAAATGTTCATATATTTGATGGAAAGCTTTAGAGTTTTAATCGATTTATTTTAGACATTTGACTAAAATTTGTATTCGGAAATGTTTTGGTAATCAATAAAACACTTTCGTTCTGAACAATGTTTTGAAAATTGCCTACTCTCCTGCATATTTTTTACATATCCCAATTATATTCCTCTTTACATAAGCAATGTATTTGTAACGTAAACGCACAATGAATTCTTAATGGATTAACATAGAGTCTCATGGCACTTTTCTAAAACCAATACTTTTTTTGTGTGTCATGCGGGTGTGATCTCAAAACAGCTGGTATACGAAAAAGCTGACTTGTTGTCAACAATTCAGTCCACAAATAGGTTTTCTCAGGGTCAATGATTTTAAATTGAATGGATGTATTAAAACTGTTTTTTTTGTTTACTATTTTAGGTTGTTGAATAACCTTTTTAGCTTATGGTGATGTTTACTATTATAATTGTTTTGTCAGTTATGAATTGCTATTTAATCATTTCAGTACATTGTATTCATTTCAAACTTGTTGGTATGGCCCTGCATCCTACAACATAGTCTATCTCCACACTCCCAGTGTGTCTAGTACATGCCAATACACTGTGATTACTGGTATAAGCAAATCCTTGAATTATAATATATAAACCATAATTTGCTGCAATAACTTATCAATGAAAACCACCTTCAAGCGAGCAGACAGGCCCTCACCCTTCTTTAACCCAACCTATCAGCTGTTCCCTGGCTGTTTTTTACTGTGATGATGGATCACTCACCAGCAGAGGATTTGGGAGATGAGCGCAAAGGCTAAGCTTGTAATGAGCAGCTGTCTGGCAAAACCGAACAACATATTACAACTCTCAGGCAGAGAAGCAGCAGCAGTTTCAGCCTCTAGTTGTGTTGAGCCTGTTTACAAGCTTTTTTGGGACCTATTTATGCCTCATTTACTAAATAAATTGGGTGATGAAACTGAAAATGTAACCGTATAAGCTTTACGTATTATACCTACTATACCCGTTCGCATAGTGGCAGTTGTTTATGAGTTTGTCTATTCAGGTACCGATAGTGATCTATCTACTGTCAACAGATGAATAATGAAGTGCATCTCAGGTCAATAATACCCTGTAATCAATATAATATAAAAGCATTTGACATTAGCAATAGCCCTGAGGGTTTAATCACAGAACAAAGATAACAGCACACAAATGAATGTGTTATTCTTGTTTATGGTGAATAACGTTGAAGGTTTTAGATGACAAGATAAATCTATGTCCATGATTCATGGAGATACATTTAATTAAGTATCATATTCTTTAAAAAAATCCATCATGTCTTTTTCCTTTTAAAGGTGGAGGGGAGGACAGTAGTGGACAGCGTTACAGTGCCGATCCCACCGGTCTTTTAGTAGAGCGAGGAGTAAAAGGAGACAAGGACCAGGAAGGCTACATGACTGCCATGAGAGACAAGAATAACTCAGGTTGATTTGACAAACTATTGACTAAGTTTGTGTTTATTTCTTTGCACATTGAGATATGATAAGCAAACCCAAAAGCTACGGAAATGAATACTGTTGTATAGTTTATGACTGTTTTGTTTGTTTGCAGACTATCTCAACCCAGTAGAGGAAAACCCCTTCGTCACCCGCCGTAGGAATGGTGACGCCCATGCAGTGATTGATGGAGCCGGCTGCCACACCCTGCACATGGCTGGGGCTGCTGCTTCCGCCAAGAGCCAGTCCACTCACGGGGACGATGAGTATATCAACGAGCCACTGTACCTGAATACCTTCCTCAACCCTGGGACAAGAACGGATTGGCTGGCGCAGTGTCCATTCCTGGCCCAGGGTCCTCTGCTGCTCAATCAATATCGCAGACGGTCAACCCATCAACGTCAAGCCACGTGGTCTCCTCCTCTGGATATGTGATTCCCCCTGGCCACCTCCCCCACCAATCGTATCCATCACACACCCTGCACCCGGGCCATTCAGGACACGCTCTGCACTCAGGCATCACCAGCGGCACCATAATGTTTGATAAGAAAGGCAAGAAGGCCACTTTTGACAATCCTGAATACTGGCAGCACAGTCTACCCCCGAAGTCCTCACTGCACAACCCTGAGTACCTGCAGGACTGCAGCACGCGCTTCTTCTACCGGCAGAATGGACGCATTCGCCCCGCTGTGGCCGAAAACCAGGAATACTTGTCCGAGGCTGCTATGAAAGCCGGCAATGTGTTGCCACCCCCTCCATACAGGCAGAGGAACACTGTAGTGTAGTGACCCTCCTGGCACAATGACGGATGAATAGAGGGAAGGGAGGGGGATAAATAAACAGTCCTCTTGTTTCCATGCAGTACTTTTCAGCCTGGGTTCCCCTTGCACCCTTCCTGGACACATCTCCCTGTTATATTGAACTGCAAGTCTTTTAGTTTCACTCTCAAGTCCTGCCTTGTCTTGACAGGACTACAATAACAGTCACTGACAGCCTCACTTGACTTTTTTAGCTCTATCCATGAAAGCAAGTAGACACGTTTTCAATGTTGGTTCCATTGTGGAGCACACTGTCCTGCCATCCCAAGTATCAGAGAGGCACAATAACAACACAATGAAATAATTGAAATGTTTAATCAGAAAAAAAGGAGACATGAACTGAGGTTAGCCCAAAGAGAGAATTATTGCCATGACCTTTCATGCTTTTCTTTGTACACCCATTAATTACAGTTCACCATGTGTTTCTTTAGCACATATTTCACCTATAATGATGCACACGTTGCTATTGTGTGCAATCTCTACAATGACACACGCACATGGCATTGTGTCGTGACTCACCAGCAAACCCTCAGTCAAGCAGAAGAGCCCAGATGTCCACATGCTTCTCTGAGTTTTACATGTTGCTGCACCAGTAATGGAATTCAAACATTTATCACACACAGCTCATATCATACCTAAAACATGTTAACATGCCTGGAGCCTTGACACACCAATAATATCCATACATGAATTCATATTATATACATGCATACTGACAGATAAGCCCGATGGCACTGGAAATATATTCTGGAGGAGAAGCTCAATTGACCTTGTGCTGGAACACAGAGTTTGCCAATAATGGCAGTCAGTGTTGCAGTGCAGGGAAAAGGGTGAACAGGAAAGTAAATGTCACCACAGTTTTATGAAAAACTGATATCAACCAAGTACCTGGTGGAAAGCATTCTGCAGATTATTGGCATAGCTAGGTTGGGATTTATAAGGTTGTTCACTCCGAAGACGACGCTGAACTTCCCACGTCACTCTTGTCCCCCTTTCATCCACAACCAGCACACCATCCACTCCTTCATAAGATCATTGTAAGCACCATTGTGACTGATGATACCAATGGTGTATGCAGTGTCATGGTATGGACATATATTTCAACAGAGAAAGGAGTGTGACGATGGTGAATATAAACGAAAAATAATACGCTTTTAGAATCGAGATCAGAGATTATTTTCAGTTTTTTTTCTTTTGCATCAGGGATCTGTTTACTTTGTCACTTTTTCTTACACTAACGCAATGAGCACAGACACCAAGCCACAAATGAGCAACGTAGTTCTGGCAATGAGGCTCTCCCTGCAGGGCTGTAAATAAGACAATTACATGTCATTACAAGACTAATCAAATCCTGGAAAAAAGCTCTGTGGACCGAGCTGAGACATCAAATTATGAGGATAAACTTGTTGGGGGGGGACCTCTGTGTGTTCATACTATTGTTTGTCAGAAAAACTGAAAATTAACTTTGAACAAGTAGTCACGACTACCTTGCTCTGTCTCTCAGCGCTTGGAAGTGGAACAGGGAGAGAGAGAGGCTGTTGAAATGGACACTATGAGAAACTGGGAAATCTTATTTTCTATTGTTATTTGACATTTTTTGTGAGATATTATAAGTTATCACTGAATCCACTGATAACTAGCTTTCTGTACTCATTCAGTACTGCCGGATGCCACAGTTAACTCTGATGGAGACCACTAGCATCTGTTGTCAAATGACTTTGAAGCCTAACTTAGACTGGGGTTGATAATTAAATAGCACTTAGTGCTCTGACGCAGCCAAATGACTTTGCTGTTATTATCACTCTAAGTGGCAATTCATCTTTTTTTTGCACTCACAATTTAAAGTGAGATGCTCGCACCTCAGACTTTGTTTCATCAGGAATATTTCCTACAAAGGAGCATACCCACTCTTATTAATGATATGATAGTAATGCATTGGGGTTGGGAGATACAGTATCAACGATGTATAGCAAATGTGTCAATTGTCCCTACAATGTATACCCAAGTAGCTACTCTTTTGATATTTCTTGTTTTATAATACATACTTAATTTTGGTAATTGTATTTCTGCATCAATGTCACAAAAGCCCTGATTTTCTTGTTATATAATAATTCACTAAATTAAAGGGGTACTCTAGCGATTTGGCATTGCGCTTCCATAAAGTATAGGAAATCACATGAGACAGTCTAAAAAATGAAGTCATTTTACCTCCTAACTTCAGTTTCTAATGCAGGCTTTTTGTTAAAAGGTCTTATGCCCAAGCAGATATTAACCTGATGAAATCATTGTTGATATCACCTGGCTTAATTGTTTTCAATTTTAGAAAGTTCCCTCAAAAGCTGCATAAGAAATTGTTCTCCGGTTTTCTTTCATAAGAACAGATCATGATTGGTAAATTAAACTTAACGTGTGCAATTGTTGGTGTGTACCAAAAACCAATATTTCCATCTATAAACAGTTTCTCAATTGAATGCACAGAACATATTTGTAATAATAATATTGATCTACACATGCCCTTATTTCAGATTGTATTCATACCGCCCACCCTGAGTATTAGGTGATAATGTCATGTATTTGGAGACCGATTAATGCCTGTGTATGTGTCACTGCTGGCATACCAATACACAACCACTGTTACACAACCTTGTGCCTCTATATTGAAAATAGCAGGCAGAGGGAAGGTTCAGTTCAGCAGTGTTGATGACTTCATGTCCAAAACACAGATGTCACCCTGGCACAGTGTTTCTCCCCCTTTCTCAGGTTTTATGGGGAACAATAATCATTCAGTTGAGCTCCAGCTGAGACACAAGTTGCCACATTAAAATGGGACATCAAACTTATTGAAGAAAACATATAATGGAAGATAGATTAGCACCCTGATACCACAGTAAACACACTGCTGAAATGTGCAAATGGGAATTTTATAGGTGTGAGGAGATGGTTCTTGAAGTCAGCTCGCTGTTAATTATCATTGACATTGCTCTGTTGCTAACTTGATTAAGCTGTGTCCATTTGCTCTGATGATTTCATTTATGTATACTGTCTTTGTGTAAATGTCTGTCAGCGTCCTCTCTATGTGTTTAGATTGCTAAGGTCAGTAAATGTGTCGTTTATTTTTACCATCACCCATTAGGTATAAGTTGCAGTGCTTGTAGACTACTTTTGGGCCGTTTGTTTAAGTGCAATGACAGCAGTGGATAGTCACCCAAAGGCATCGTAATGGATCTCTATGGAAAAATAAAGCCAATCTTGTGAAGGAGAAAACCTGCTGGTGCTCTCAGTATCGGAGCATCACAAGGGGATTTTAGCTTTTTGAATGCTAATTCATCCACTTTCCCTTTTTGTTCTTTTGGGAAATCATGTAACCCGACATCTCACCCAGTGCACCAGCTGAGAAACCGTGAACGACAGGCAATAGGTTGTAATCCTGCAGTGGGGCTAAAACTAAGGTATTAGCATTCTAGAAATGTTACCAGACCAATGCATCAATGTTACAAAAGCTAGCAGGAGAGAAGGTGCAAGTGCACTGTAACTGGCAGAGGAGACCAGAGTAGATTGCCATCCTTTCTTTTTTTCCTCAGAGGTGACTGTGAATTGTATGTAGCAAACATTGTTCAGCTGTACAGAAGTGGAACCGAAAAGCAGCTATGTGTGGAGTGAACACGAACAAAGACAAATGATTTTGGTCAAATGTTAACAGGAGTCATAGTTTCATGTGAAAACATATTATATTCTGTGTCAAGGTATAGAAAGTCTCACAGGCACAGTAGTTATTTAAAGGAGCACAATAACTCCCTTTCATGACTAAGTAAACTGGCCTTATAGTAACAGCTATCATTTTTTATTCTGCATCCACTTTTGTTTTGGGTTTAAATATATTTCAAAGAAATGTTGATATTAGTATTGTAAATGGTGTTGTTTAAACTCTTGTGTTTGCTATTCAGGGGATCACATTGTCACAGCAGATGTTTTATTTTTAATATGCAGTTTGAAGGTTTCATTATCTCAAGTCTGTCATGTTCTCTACTTAGCGTTGAAGCCATTCTATGTCCCAAGTCAGGGGCTCTGTGTGCCATCCACTGTCTGAAGTTCAGGCTGAACCTACAGTAGTTTAAAACTGACCAAAACTAATGGCTGTCCAGGTGCATATTGTCATCTTAACAACTTATTTATTCTGCAAGTTTTATCAAAAAGCTGCCCTCAGAAGACCTATTCTCTTTGTTCACACCCTAAAATAGATTGTTCAATGGTTTAGTAAATGTGAGTTGATGTTGAAGACCTCAAATTATACACCAGGTGTGTCCTTCACGAAAAGGGATGCCTGACGGACCTTGTTGGACCACCAAGACAGATCCAGCCAAAAAATAGGCACTAAAGAGGGTCCAGCCCCTGAACTGGAACACAGCCATTGTGTTTATAGAGTGTGCTCTCTTTTACTTTTTGTAAGCTTTGTATTTACATCGAGAAGACTTGTATTCAAAGCATTGGTTATATCTATCCACCTGTGGTCTAAATGCTCCTACTGTATTGGATCAACCCATGTTACATTTCAGATAACTTCAATATAAAATCCTAATTAATAGCTTTGGTCAATGCATCATAAAAAAAAAAAGGTTTTTAAAGGGAAACTATAATGCAGCTCACAAACACATAATACTAACATCTTTAAAGAATCAAACTGTGTATGGCTGTCATACTTCATATTTTACACTGAATCATATGCATATATTCTACCTTACCATGATAACTGGGGTAGATGGCAGCGGTTGAGAAAGCACAGTTTACAATGTCTTGAATTGATGTTAAAAGTGTAAAATGGAAATAATAATTGTCTTTTAACCAAATGATAAAGACATTCAGATAATGGGTCACCGGACAGTTCTACCATTGTTAGACAAATAAAAAAAATAAAAAGTGGATAGTATTTTTATATGTAGGTAAAGGGTGGCCAGGTGCATCTGTAAATAAGACAATGATGCTTCTTTTCCAGATTTCTTTTTTTTTTCCTTGCATCATTTGATTTTTGGTGGTCTACTGTACCTTTTGATTTGGGGAATATCTTTTCTGTATGTATATAAATATATATATACAGTAAATATATAGATATATATATTCTGTAAATGTAATTTGAAGAGTGAACTCTGATTTAAAAAAACGCTTGCAGGGTCTTTTGTCACGCCCACCTCATCGATTCCCCTGTGATATTGTGACTGTGTTTCTTAGCACAACTTGGTGGATTTTGTGTTTCAACCTCTGCTCCTGCTCACTTTGTAGGAGTAAAATACTAGGTGTATTATAACTCCACTTCCCTCCATGCTTCTCTCAGTATTATACACATCTTGAGATTTTTTTTTGATTTTGTACACTCTTACGATGCTGTTGCAATACTAATGAATATTCCCCATTTCACCCACTTTTCTCTCAGCCTTTCCTAAACAATGTTATTAATCCACCAGTGTCACTTTACACCTCGTGTTTTAAGGACCTATACTATGTTTCCTTGAGTAGTTTCATTTTCCATTTGCACTGAGCTCAGTCATTGTTTACTTTAAGATTATATTAAGCTCTTCATCCATGTGGGGCAATACTGATCGAATGGTGTAGCAATATCATGTTACAGTCAACAAAAGTAATTTAATGATGTATGAGAGGCTAAATGGGCAGTTTGCATGGGATGGACTGATCATTTAAATTACTGATCAATGACTTTGCTTGTACAGAAGTTAGTACGTCAACTATTTTCGACTTCATTCGGACTTGAAATGTTCACTATTTTTCAGAAGTCACAGTTTAACTAGAAGTGAATACATCTTTTTCACAGGATCTTTAAAGGACTTTGGGATAGAGTTTGCCAAATTGTCATCTGATTTTATATCTGATGTGAGGACTGGCGCCAAGATCATCATGTTGAACCTGTTTCTTTGTGGCTCGTGATCAAGCAGTGCATCATAATACTAATGTCAAGTGTTGCTGATGCTCAGATGCTGAGGCTAAATGGTTGGTTAAAGTTACTATGTAAACCTGTCTGGAATAACGTTATTACAGGAAAACTGTATGAATCCACAATTTTACAATTTAATGATGTGGTAAGTTCTAATTGATATTTCAATTGCAGAAGAAACATACTTGTGTTTTTTCTAAAAAGCTGAACATGCTAGAGACTTTACCAGTAAGTCTAAAGACATTTACTGCAATGTTGTTTGAATTAGACAGGATTTCTGCCAGCATCATCTTTGGATTACATACAATTTGTCATACATCTTATTTGATATATCACCTACAGGTTGCTAGGCCTGAATTACACTTACTATTGAATAGTGTTAAGGCACTTGCACCGATTATTTTTGTGGCAGTCTTGACAATATCCAGCATTTAAAAATACATTTAGTAAGATGATCAGTTTGGCAAGCGTCACAAAAGTCCATGTGTTTGTTCAAAAGTACATTTTGAAGAAAGAATATTCAATTGTAAAAACGTTCATGAATTATCATTGCTTTTTATCAACTCATCAGAATGATTGAGAAATAAGTTTTATAGAACATACCTTGTCACATATTACCAGTTTAAACGATTTTCTTCACTGGTTAATTGACACATTTCCCAAGCTAGAACATTGAAATATGTATTCCCTCTGTTTTGTTACATGAATCTGTCAAAACTATATTTTTAATTCAATATGAATAAAGATCAGTCAATATTTAAACTTGAATTGTTCTAATTTTTTCATGTTGTGTTATAATGAAGTGTTGTGCCAGAAACACCCACTCTGACATCCTATTGATTACCATCATGATCACTTCAAAGGGTCATTCCAATTATAAAAAATGACAAACCGTTTTTAACAAATTATCCACTCCAATGTATTTGTAGTTTTGCCCAAATAGCTGAAGTGATACATTCAGAGTTTCCATCCAATGTTTCCTTCAAACTGTGCTTGGCTTTACTGTGGCCATCTGTCTGCATTTGCCTCTAGATGGGATATAGTACTACTTTAAATTCAGCCCTTATTTTTAAGAGCCCTTTACAACTCCTTACTTCAAATGTCAGCCCGTTCTCGAGTAGTTCAGCCAAACCGTGGGAGTGTTATGTAGCCTGTAGTCTCAGCGTGACATCTCCATTCTGCCCAGATGAGGCCTGGGCTGCAGACATCTCTCACCATTCAGCAGAACATGCCTTTAGGTCAGAAAGAGCAAGGAGTCAGATGGTACAAAATCTCCACAGCCATCAACACAACCTCTATTCCCCAGCCAGTCTTTTCCACATTAAAAGCTGGGCACACTCACACACAGGCATACACGTGCAGGAAAATCACACAGGAGCACCGATAATAAAGTGTCATTACTTATGACACATGATAGATGCGTCTCTTTTTCAGCTGATGACATTTTATGGCATTATCATAGGAAATCCAATAACGAGATCGGCATCTTCGAGCCTTTGCCCCATGCAAAGTCAAATCACTTGCCTTTAGATGGTAATAGAGTTTGATCGAAACAATCTGTCACTGCCTGTGCTCTCACTCTCACACGCCAACGTCCCTTGACAAAGTGTATAGATTTTTACCTGATATAAGGGATGATCGGCACAGCTGAATGTAAATGAGTTAAAATGTCTTTAGGTGAATCGATTGACTGACACTTTTCGGCAAATAAAAGTGAAGGCTGTATTTGACAGTGCATCAATCTTTACCACAACACGTCTACAGCACAGCAAAACCATATAACTGTCTACATGTTTCCATGTGCGGCTATTGCAATATGTGCTGATATTAACACTTTCAAAGACAGAGGTTTTAAAATTGCCTGTGAGCCAGAACTGCAGTTTTGCTTGCTCCAGCGAAAAGTATTTTTCGCACAAATGCCAGTTGGTGTCATGTACGCACTGTTCTCTCCTACTGCAGTGTTTGTTGTCTAATCCCAGGATAGTGAATTGATTGTCACAGCAAATAAGCTATACCACCTGTAACAGAGGTGATCTTTGGGGCCATAGATCTCGGCCTCCGTTACGGATTGTGTAGTTTTGTTGGTGGCGAAATGTATGTAGTGTGGGCATCTGTATGTGTTTTAGTTTGTCTGTCTCTGTTTGCTGGTTTTATGTTGAAAAGTGTTCCCCTTCCCCCATGTCTGTTGCTGTTGATTGTGTGCACCTGGTGCCCTGTGTTGTCTCCTCCCCCCCCACCTGTGTCTAATTGCTGATTGGTGTGCTTGTGCGCGTGTGTGTTTAGGCTCTGTTGCCCTGTCTGTTTTGGGGCGCAGGTAGTGTGTGTGAGATCCTTGTGGCTGGTGACTATGCTCACAAAAACAGCAAGATTGAGGCTGTGTCCTGGGCTCGAGTTTAATAAATGCCCACACCGGGTTATATTTTTGGACGTTCTGCCTCTGCCTCCTTGCTTGGTCGGGCCGCTCAATTGTCAGCTTCACACACCCTTTGACGTAGATGATACATGCTGTACATGCAGAAGGTTACTCATTGTGAAGCAGTTTCATGCAATGTCATCCTCTCATCTAACACAATCATACTGTAATGTTATGATTTACTGTGACAGAAGAGTGTAACACCAAAGCTCTAAAAGTTGTTTTGTCTTGTTCACACTGTTTTGGCATCACTATCTCTTTTTCTCAGAGAGCCAGTGTGAGGGTGGCTGCATCTAAATCCCAGCATGTTGGCAGTCTCTGATTGAATGGACTGTACAAAGCCTGCTAAGCAGTGTTGTGATCCCCCTTGAGAGCCTTCATTATGGAACAGCATATTGGATTCTCTTCACAGGCTGCCTGCCTCTGGAGGCTACTATCTCCTAAAGGAACGGACATACACACAAACCGTCATACTAGACAACATGTAGACAAGCAAGTAATAAATCATGCCTCAGTGAATCTGGTCTCTTAAAGTACAAACATGACCTCTACACACACACATACAGCTTCTAAAAATGTTGCACGTTATTTCTTCACAAGAACAAAGGGTGTAAACACTATACACAACAATGGTTTCTGTGACTTTAAAGTCAAACTGTATGTTGTGTTTGTTGTGAATACCTGAGTTGGCTCTCTGAATATATGTTTGGACTACATTGCCATCAGCATCTTGAAATATGTTCATGATGGGTTGGAGTGGTTGTGCCACATATTGTGCTGTTCTTAAACTGAATGGGTCGTTTATTTTGTTGCCATCACTTCTTCACTGAAATGACTGTCTAAAGTCTAAAACTAGTGTTGGACTATTGAATTCAAGAAATGGAAAGCAGTTTTATAACATAAATCAAACTACCCAAATTTCATTTAATTTTAATGATTTATTCGGCACATTGGAATTGATTGAGCTTATATGAAGTTTTCAAAAGCTACTTAATATTAGCGACATTCAAATATTGTCATTTCAAGCTTGGGAAATCCTAAACTGTCTAGCAATTCACTAAGTAATATTTGACAACACAGGCATTGAGATTAATAAGGCTCATTGGCATTTGCATACTGCTCGCGGAATACAGCTCATCTGGTTATTGTTGAATATGAGCTGCTCAGCATTTAGTGTTTATCACTTGCTTTGTTAGGCAAGGCAATATTCACTCAGAGAGGCTCCTAGTAAAACTGCTTTGGCTTTTTAAATAAGGGAGTCTTCATTACAACACGTTTATATTTCCCTTCACATCCAATAATGAAAGTTATTGTGATGACTGAATATATCTTCAGGGACAGTGGGGATTTTGTAAATGTGAAGTTGCTGACTCACGTCCAAGCAAACTTTGAGATCCTTCCCTAATTATAGCGGTTTATGAATTAAATATATATTTAGAGGCCTAAAGGTTATTTGGGAATAAAGGAATTATCTTTGCTACTTTTCTTTCCTGAAAAGGTTGAGAGTGTCAGATACCACGGACCCACCCACACAAGAGGGATAGGTGTGAACTATTTTACTCTATAACTCTATAACACTCAGGCAATGAAATTAAGTCATGATCTGCTGTTCTGTAACATCCACACTTTTACCAAAAATGTGACCCTCCAGTGCAGCCACATGTTCCTCAAGTACTGTATATCCAGGTCAATAATAATTGCACAAGCACAATTTTGCTAAGATGAACTTTGTATTGTTTTCCACCTTAACTGGTCAGTATGTGTGCATAACATTCTCTGACATCTGAGTTATTCAAAATAAATGTTTTTTTGTCATTTTGTTTCAATTAGCAATCAAAATGACCTTTAGTATACAAAGTTGATCTATAGTTTTGCCAATCCTTTAACATGACATGATTTGTTCAATGTCATAACATAAACACACATTATCCCCGATAATAAATAAACAAGACAGGAGGATCGAGGGGGGCCTGACCTGGCTGAGACCACCCATTTTGAGACCAGGCCAAAGAATCAAAGGGCTTCAAATACATACTGAATAAATCAAATCAAAATAAATCAAAAAAAGTCAATGGTTTTATTTTTTTATGTTCTCTTTTTCCAACTTTAGACGTGGTAGGTCTTGTTTACCACCTAATGATTTTCTAAATGTCAGCAGGCACAGTTTAAAACAGGGGTCTCCAACCTTTCTTCATCTGAGAGCTACTTTGAAAAAATGAAAGTGGCCAAGAGCTACTTCCATCACATTGCTTACATTTATTCACATAGCCCTCATCAGTTGAATTAAGCAATACTTTTGTACACGTGTGAAATCTTAACTTCACATCAAGGTCCAAGAAAACAAAAATGTCTCACATATTATTATGGCCCACATAGTAAGTACATCACTGAAAATTCACATACATTTCCTTAATCACCACCTTACAAGCATTTCACTCTTTTTTACAGTTAGTGAGATGATTGGCGCTGCATGGAGTCCACCATAGAGGTGTATGCTGAAGTGTACCCACTCTGGTTCACTCTAATAGTCATTTAAATGTTCATCAGTCAGTCTTGTTCTGTATTTAGATTTCATGACATTCATGTCAGAAAAAGCTGCTTCACAAAGGTCTGTAGAGCCAATAAAGCAGACATGTTCAGTGCTGCTTGGTGAATGTTCTTATAGTTTTCTGGGTCTATAAGGCTCCAGAAATGTTGTGAGTTTTGCTGAGACTTAAGCTGAACATTATTTTGGAGATCTCCACAGGATTGACACTGAACAGTTCAGCCATATTTTTCTTCTTCTTCTTCGTCTTGACATTAAATTATAAACCATAATAAATCAATTGTATAGGTCTAGCCTCCCTATATCTGTGTGTGAAATTGTTCCATCCTCAAAAACAAAAAACTAATACTTCTGCAGTCTAGCTGCAGCTTCTAGCTACGGTCTTCTGTTAAAAGAAAGACTGAATGTCTTGAATGTGGCATCACACACATGACTTGAGTCTGAACACAGCAGACAACAGGAGTCTTTACAACAGCATTATAAAAACAAAAGTAGTGCTTGTGGGTGCACACTTACATTCTCTGTTTTACGGCCCGTCCACACTACAGCTTCAAAAAAAGCTTGGAGCTGGGCGTGTCTGAAGTTTGGGATTTTATTCGAGCAACGCGACCAACAACCATGGATGTATAATAATAACTGGATACAGCGTGGGAGGCGGGGCCTCATTCATTCCTATGAGAGTTGCTCAATAGCGCATGATGACAAAATGGCCCAACTTTTGAGAGAGCGAAACGTCACAGATTACCCGGCATGCCTGAGAAGTACCCGTATGTGCGCTCATAGCGCATGCGCAACTTTAACCAC